AAATGACTGTTGTTAAATTAGGATCATAGGGAAACTCAGAAGTTGTACTTCATTGTCAACAAAACAAAATAAGACCGTAAACATAAGCCCTTGCATTCTGGGACTCTATCCAAAAGCATTCAGCAATTTGGCTGTGCCCACCTTCAGAAAAGCCATAATTTGATTCTAGGATCTGGGTACCATAATGCAGTCAGAGGATCTTAGCATTCAACAGACACTCGTTTTGGTGTGGGGAGGGGCGGCGCGGTGGTTAGAAGTTGGCCAGTTCTATTTCCTTGGCACCTAAAATCTATTCTCTTCCTGGGTTTTTTTTTGCTGCTCACAGAAAATAAATATACACAATTTTATACATAAATGTGATTTTCACTTATTTTGTTTTGCAAGAAGACTCTCAGATTAAACATTCCGCAAAATATTTTGTAACTTTAGGATTTTAACTAATCTAATATTTTCATTAACAATTGCAGACACTGTGCATCATAAATAAATAGGAAATTATCCTCTGTTATTAATTGTAAATGCCTTTTCATTTCATAGAATGCTTTATGAAATTTTATCATAAAATCGTGGAGGTAACGTAAAATGATAGAAGCAGAAGGGAATATGGATAGTCTTTTCTTTTTTTTTTTTTCTTTGAGATGGAGTTTTGCTCTGTCGCCCAGGCTGGAGGGCATTGGTGTGATCTTGGCTCATTGCAACCTCCACCTCCAGGGTCCAAGCGATTCTCGTGCCTCAGCCTCCTGAGTAGCTACAATCACAGATGCCTGTCACTACGCTGGGTAATTTTGTATTTTTAGTAGAGTTGAGGTTTCACCATGTTGACCAGGCTGGTCTCTAACTCCTGACCTCATGTGATCTGCCCACCTCAGACTCCCAAAGTGCTGGGATTACAAGCATGATCCACCACACTTGGTTATGGGACACCTTTTCTTGTACACTTTCATAGGTTCAGATTTTTTATAACCCGCTTGAAACATGTTTCAATGCCAACACTAAAATGAATGTATTTAGTTAAAACTCTTTGGTTTCCAATATGAGAAATCAGCGAAAGATATTTTATGCTAAAGTTGGGAATACATAGGACCTAATCTTCAGAAATGGATTGGAAATTCAAGGCCATCATGTGTATCCTCTCTTCCTTCCTCTCTTTCTCTTTCTCTTTCTTTGTTATCTTTTTCTTCTCTAGAGGTAAAGCATGGCCAACAACTTCATAGTGCCTGAATTTGCCTGTTGTATGCCTGTTTACCTACAAAACTGCTGCTGTGTTTGGGTGGCTATTTCAAATGTCAGGGAGAGAAACTGTGGTGCTGCCTGGGTTAAGAGTTGGCTCTTCATTCTATCTGTCATGCCTAGAAGAGAAGAGTCATGAGGCAGGAATATGCCTTCTGAAGGACTGTGTGTCCAGCAAGGCAGGGATTTTCTCAAGGAGCTATGGACAAATATGTTTGTATAACAGTGGTAATGATAAAAAAGGACTTACTGTGTGACCCAAATTGTGCTCAGTATTTTACTTACGTCATCCCATATGCACAGCTATTAGTAAAGTGCTGTAAATTTTTAGAAAGTGTTTTTACATGCATTATCTTGTTAATTCTAACAATTCCTTTATCAAATAAATGCTATGCTTTCTATTTATTTATGTAATCCTTCCTTTTTTTTTTTTTTTTTTTTTTGAGACAAAGTCTCACTCTGTCGCCCAGGCTGTAGTGCAGTAGCACAATCTCGGCTCACTGCAACCTCTTCCTCCCAGGTTCAAGTGATTCTCACGCCTCAACCTCCCAAGTAGTGGGGACTACAGGCGTGTGCCACCACACCCAGCTAATTTTTGAGTGTTTGTAGAAATGAGGTTTTACCATGTTGACCAGCCTGTTCTCAAACTCCTGACTTCAAGCAATCCACCCACCTTGGCCTCCCATATGTTGAGATTAGAGTCATGAGCCACCACACCCAGCCTATCTTCTATTTTATATTGAAGAATCTCTTGTTAAAAGTTGAGTGTGTTTTTAAGTGAAAGAGCCAGAAGTGAAACCCATGTCTTCTGATTCATGATTTAGAGATTTTACACTTGAAAGTGGTCTCCTTTCTGCACGGTGTCAGCAATGTAAAAGTGTGAAACATGGTAGTTGATCAAACGAAAACACCTGCAGCCCTCTATTTAGTGTCTGTTAGTAGCATCATGGATCCCTCATAATCATACATTGAGTTTTTCTTCTCTTTTTTTGGCTAATCCTTCTATCTGTTTTTTTTTTTCTTTCTTGGAAATATATTGCTTAGGAATGCACTCAGCTGCAAGTAACAGATTCACTATAGTGGAATGAGGGGTTTAGGTTTTCCTTATACAAGACTCTAGAAGTCATCAGCAACTTCCGCTGAAGAATCACGGTTCTGCTTTTCTCCTGCCTACCATCCTTAACATTTGATTTTCTTTCCTGTATTCCCCAGAGGGTTGCTGTCTCTCCAGCCACTAAGTCCCTATTTCAGGTGGGGAGAAAGATGAGGGAAAACTTCACCTCATCCCATTTCCTTTCTATTCTAGGAGGGATTCCCTTCCCAAAGATTTTTCTGTATATCTTATTGGTCAGAATTATGTCCCACAGCTTCCCTAGGGGCAAGCTAGATGGGAGTGTGAATGTTTTTCTTTTTAATTTCTATGACATTGGAAGACAAAGGAATGGGCCATCCCATACTCCATTTAGTGGGACTGGAAGTAGGACCTGAGGTCTTGGTACCACATGCTTCTAAGTTCTCCCATGTAGTTTTCCTTCACTTACGCTTTTACAGCATTTTCTTTGCTCAATTGAGTGATTTCAGTTTCTTTTAACTCTCTTAATAGGATTTTGCTTTCCTGCTTTTCTCTGACCTCTAGAGTCCCTTTCATTGATTTCTTCTGAATCCCTGTCTCTACACATACCCAGGAGGGTATATACCTACATATTCCCGAGAGGATACTTGAGAACTGTCTTGCTTTCTCTGTACCCTTCCTTTGCATTTTATAGATGAAACTGGAGAGACATGGAGAGGCAAAGTTACACAGCAAGTTAGTGAACCAAAACCACACTCCATGCCTCCTAACTCTTAGGCCTGGCTTTTTAAAGTGTTACTAAATAATAAGTCTTTGTGTTTACGTATGTCAAAATTTTGGAGCAAAATAAAACTACTGGTGTATAAAGTGTTTATTACAGAAAAAAACTCTCGAAGTCTATCATTTAAATGCCACCGAAACCTCTGTTTATTCGAATCAGCAGATGTTCACTGAGTGCCTGCTAATGTGCTAGGCACTACAGAAGCCAGGGGCATTGCAGTGAACAAGAAAGTGTGAGCCTTTGCCCTCATAGAGTTTATGTGCCAGGTGCATTTAAAGTATGCAGTACTTTTCATAGAGTAATCAGATATTTATTAAGGGCTTACTCTGCATAAGGGACTGTTCTATGTATGATATACAGTTTATGACAAGAAATATAAGAATTCTGCTCTTACGTTCTAGGCATACATAGTATAGAACTCAGACGCCATCCTTCTCCTATTGTTTATTACCAAATGTAATGAAGACATACCTAATTGATAGTATTTCTTAATCTATGGATTGGAGTAATTCATATGCTTTTTACAAGTTAAAATACATACCTTATGACTAGGTATGCAATTTAGTTGGCTTAAAAAATTGATTTAGCTTTAAGTGTTAATTTGTTGGACTGAATTCTAACAATTTTGACTCCTTCTTCCTTTATTCTTTTGTTTTATTGAATTTAACTTGAATGGAATCTTTTATTTGTCTAAGTCTATTTCTGTCTAGTAAGGAAGTTGAAATTGATCATGCCTTGACTTTGTGGGCCATCAGAGAACCATGACATTCCAGGGTATTGATTTTGTGGTGTTAAAGGGTGACAGATCTACTGTTAAAGTGCCGAGAGAGAATTGGGTTTCAGATTGTATACCATAAGCAGTCTTGGCTTTTGCTGAGACATGACTAGCTTTTAAAAGTAATGGAAGGAATTGTAAGTCTTAGGTAATTTTCAGGGCACAAGTTTGAAAAGATTAATTTCAGCAAGCATTATGTAATCATGCATAGAGGGGAATAAGTTCCACCTATGATAAATATTGTATATCTAAATATATACAACTTGGAGTATGTGTGTGAGTGTGTGTGTGTATATATTCAGAAAGTTACTCTATGCTAAGGATATTGAGCAATATTTCAAGACAGCATCACTGAACCTTTCAAACATATTTATTCTTACATTTGGAAGTTGCTTAGGAATGACAAGTTTTGTTTCCTTTCATAGAATTGATTCTTGCAATCATTATTTCGAATTTTGCTTCTGTTGTGCTTTCTCTCATTCAGCTATTATAAGATATGAGTTATAAGATGGGCACAGTGACTTACGCTTGTAATCCCAACACTTTGGGAGGCTGAGGCGGGCAGATCACTAGGTGAGGAGTTTGAGGTCAACATGGTGAAACCCCATCTGTACTAAAAACACAAAAATTAGACAGGCATGTTGATGCATATTTGTAATCCCAGCTACTTGGGAGGCTGAGGCAGGTGAATCGCTTGAACTCGGGAGGCAGAGGCTGCAGTAAGCCAAGATTGCACCACTGCACTGCAGCCTGGGGAACAGAGCGAAACTCCATAGCAAAAAAAAAAAAAAGATATGAGTTATGATGTCCACATTTCAGAAAGGCCACAGGTCTACAAGTGTAACGCTTGGCAATTTTTCATTTCCCTCTGAGGCATAAAATGTTGACAAGTACATTATAATAGCTGCTATAGACATGAACTAAGGAAGAGTAACCATGGTCGTCTTTCATTGTCCCATTTTCCTCTGGATTTGTTCTTTTAAATTTTATGACCTTTGGTGAATGCATTGAAAATAACATTTTGATCATATGATTATTGAGTGGAAAACTAATACTCAACTAAGTCCAAGTGTATCTTTGGAAACTAATCAGAGGTGTACCACATTCATTGACTTAAACCAATCCATCATAGTCATGTTCTAATTTATTTCCACATGTTCTTCCAAGTTCCCATTCTTGAATAAGACTCTGACCTGCAAAGAAGAATGGAATGTATTCTATAATGTATGTTTGTTCTGTTTTCTAACAACATAAGTATTTTGCTTAAGCAGATTTGCTAGGAAGTGACAACTTTGAAAAATTGGACATAGGAGCTGCTGGAAGCATTTCAGTTCGAAGCAATCTAAATAGTGCAGAAGGGGAAAATGAAATATCACCATGTTTTAAAGATGACAGTTTTGTCAAAGATTCCCTTTCACTCTTTGGCTTGAAACAAATGAAGTAGATCCAGTATATCTGTTCAAAATATGCATGTGCACTCACTGAGGAACATTCCTTCCTGAGACTGTTTCTTCAGAGACAACCAATGAGAGAATTATCATTGAAAAAAAATGTATCACGAGTTGGGGAGACTATCATTTTCTTGGCTTAATTTTTAGTTTGGCTTTTGAGGTCATAAGATTTCACAAGAACAAAATGGTGCCTTTAAGAAATGAGGAAAACCTATAGGCTTAACACCATTTGAGTATATCATTAGGTACACATATTGGTTGTTCTTCAGAAATATGATTATTATTTTGAGGTGTGTGTGTGTAAGTAGGAGAGAGAGTTTCAGTTAAGAACTTCAGGTTAGCTAGATACTAATTTTTATGGATATATTAAAAATCCCAGTAATATTCTCTACCCGAAAAGTGTTGTTGAGGTACGTTTGAAAAGATATAGCTAGTGTGAACTAACTTGCTTTTAAGAACAATGTAATCACTAATTGGAGAGGCAGTAGAGTGTAGTCTACTTAAGAGAACAAAGACTAGAATGAGACTTCCTGTGCTTAAAATTTCAATACTGCCATTTTAGATCTGTGATTTGGGGAAAGTTAATTTCTTAGTTACTGAGTTCCTTCTTTGTAAAATATGGTCACTGGATAGTATCTACTTCCTAGAGACCTGGCATGTCAGCCTGAAACCTTATAAACTCTCAGTAGAATCTTAGTATCACTAATTGAAATTCTTAACATGTTTTGATGCCAAGAATAACAGCAGAAATTTTTTTAAAAGTAATTCAGGGGATGAATTTAAAGCGCAAACATTTCAGGAATCCTGTAATACATACATTATGCTTCTTTCAAGGCAATAGTAAATGAGTGGTGATCACATAATTTTAACAAAAGAAGCACTGCTGATTATCATTTATGTCCTATGAATATTATGTAAAGTGCTTTAGAATCACACTTTATGGGAGTCACTGGTAGTTTCTGACTTTCAGATTCTATAATCAGTGGGCTGATTTCAAGTTCCGAGGTTATTCTCAGTTTTTATTATATTACTGTTAGAAATAGCAGTGCCATGTAAATGCTTGTATATTTTAATTATAATTTGTTCCCACTCACCTTTAGTAAGAGTGGTTATGTTAGTACTGTTACTTTCTGCAATAACGTTCATTTACTATGTTACATTTATTAATTCTATGTTCACCTGTGTGCTATATTTGCCTATTACTAAAGAGGTACCTGGTAGTATAACTCTATCTGAATTACAACCTAAATCTTTCACATAAAACGATTGATTCGTTCTAGTATACATTTAAAAAATCTTATCTGCTTGTACATTTTACTTAATTTTAGAGCCTATCAGCTTTTCATTTTAATAGGATTGTCATTTTTATATATGGAAGGATTCTTGGTGTAGTTTGGCTTTGAGCCATAATATGATCTATCCTTTTAACCCTTTGGAAACATTGACTTTTTCATTGCATTAGTGCAGACTTCATTTTATTTCCGGTCCAAGATGCCAAAGGTCACTTCATTAGACACCTCATTTGCCTTTCTTCCCTGTAGTGTCCTGGTATCTTATACCAAGTATCACTAAAAAAAATTCTGCTTCCATTAACAAAAAGTGAGCAGAGAACAAAAAGCCAATTATTTGCAGCACATAAAATCTTTATGATAATTTGGTAGACTTTAATTAAACTAATACATCACACTGCACTTATAAGACAAAAGAGCAAAAGAGAAGCATGTAATCTTTTTTTTGTTCTGTTGAGAAACACCATATTGCCTTGTAATTAAGCATTTTAAGACTTATGATCTATTTTGAAGGGTAAGATTTTCAGTCCTTTTCATACAATATGCATATTAAAATTATATGTTATATTGATTGGAACCATCCCCCCAAAATTTAAAATGAAACTATGACAAAACTTAAAGTAACTTTTATTATATTTTATGATTGTTTTCCAACTCTTCAAAAATAAAAGGGGATTCTGCAAATTCATCTCACATCACACAGAAACTTTACTACAAAGAATTTTTTTTTGGTATTTAACACATTTTGCTGGGATTTTTGCATTGCTGTTTACTCTTTCTGATGAACCAACTGACATTATTAATGCAAAATTTGCTATAAATTAAAGGGATACCAATGTAACTTATCTTTCCTGCATTTCACAACTGTGTTGTACTGGAATTAGAGACACTTAATCTTTGTTTAATCTCATCCCCAAATCTTCAACGTCTTTGTGATATAATTCTCATAATTTAAGTGGAAATAAAGAACTGAATTGAGAATGAATACATTTGCTTTTAATCTAAGGTCTGCAATGTTATATTGAGCATGTCCTGTCACCTCTCTGGGTTTCAGCATTATCACTAGTAAAGTAAATAATCTGGTAAAGAATGATTCCAAATGGCCTCCTTACTCCATTTTTTGTTTGTTTGTTTTAATGGAGACGAAGTCTCCCTCTGTGTCGTCCAGGATGGAGTGCAGTGTTGCAATCCCTGCTCACTGCAACCTCTGCCTCTCGGATTGAAGCGATTCTCCTGCCTCAGCCTCCTGAGTAGCTGAGATTATTTCAGGCGTTCACCACCACACCCGGCTGTTTTTTTGTGTTTTTAGTAGAGACGGGGTTTTGCCATGTTGCCTAGGCTGGTCACAAACTCCTGCGCTCAGGCAATCTGCCCTCCTCCGCCTCCTAAAGTGCTGGGATTACAGGCAAGAGCCACCGGGCCCAGTCCCTGGTCTCCTCATTTCTGAAATTGTATTTCTACATTAAATAGTAATGTAACGTCTTTCTGTGTACCAAAATCAATATTTAAATATGTTCACATCAATCCTTAAATTAGTGTCTTAGTGTTTACAAAAAGTGTTTCCGAAAACATTTCTAGAACTTTCTAATGATCAGAAAGCACAGATTTTTGAAGCTGGTAAACCACAAATCATATTAAAAGAGAATTATATTCAGCTTAGAAATTCATCTATTATCAGCCAAAGGGATCATATATAATCACTGTGCCAATTCTTAGAATTTTAACATATTTTTCATAAAGAGGAAACTATTTGGAATTTCTAATTTTGTCCTTTCTCACATTTACAAATTCAAGTCTCAATTAATTCCTTGGGCATTTACTTAATTTGCTTGTTTGTAGATCAAACTTAGTGGGTTTATCCATCACTTGGAAATACTTTGTATTTTTCTACTCTTCTCTGTGGGTGTTCAAGGCTCCCCAAGTAGCTCTCAATTTTTCAGGCACATGATTGCAATTTAAGTGTCATTTAAGGACAGCCAAACTTGCTATTCACTTCATCTTCTCATTAGCATCTAGCCTCTGTTTCTCTCAGGCAGCCTTGGCACATGAATACCAGCCAATACTGCTTTTGTTTCCAAAGGTGGCCAGTATTATGGCCTGAAGAGGATAATGATGATAGTTTAAGTTTGTGCCATTTTACATTTTTATTGTGAGCCTTCAGAATGGAAATGCATTAACTCTTAACCTTGGCCAAATGTAATTAGAGCTCTAAAGCTGGGATCCGGTCTAATGTTTTACTTACATAGTGCATAGTGGTATGGTCTATTTGTAGTAATCTCCATCCTTCCCTGATTTAGAAAGGGTGTTTTTTTTTAAAATCATTGTTTTCTGGCCAGGTGGGGCGGCTCATGCCTGTAATCCTAGCACTTTGGGAGGTTGAGGCAGGTGGATCAACTGAGATCAGGAGTTTGAGATCAGCCTGACCAACATGGCGAAATCCCCGTCTTTACTAAAAAAACAAAAAGTAGCTGGGCGTGGTGGCACATGCCTGTAATCCCAGCTACTCAGGAGACAGACAGGAGAATCGCTTGAATCCAGGAGGCAGAAGTTGCAGTTGGCTGAGATTGTGCCACTGCACTCCAGCCTGGGTGACAGAGCAAGACTCTGTCATTAAAAACAAACAAACAAACAAAAAAACCAAAAAAAACCGGAAACAAATAAAATGGTTGTTTTTATAAAAACAATAAAGAGAAAGATGATTTAACATTGAAGAATAGGCTCTTCTAGAGTACCAATCTTTACATACTTAATTGCATTAGCATTTTCTTGACAAATAGTTGTTTTATTTGAATACTCTGTCTTTTGATAGTTATTGAATTAATTTGTCTATGTATGTCTAATTGAGGATGTTCAGAACAGCTTTGTTACATTTGTTGTTTTCTCTTATTGTACTCGATTCTATTATATGTAGCCTTCAACTAAGTAGAAAATATAGGAAAAACAGCTCATGATGGAGTTGAGTGGAATTAAGGAAATCTCTGGTTTAGGAAGGGAAACTAAATACTCTCACTGTTTTCTGACCTCACCTTGCACCTTCCTGTCAACTTTGTGCATATAAGCAGATTGTAACCTTGGAGAGAAAAATGAAAGAGCCAAGTAAGTGAAACTATAGGAAATAGTTTTACCATTTCAAAAGATAAATAAAAGTTTCCTCAGAACCGGGACTGTATTTCCTTCCATGCCTCTTACATGACTGAACTTATACATAACATATGGTATTCTTTCTAATAAATCCTGAGATTCCATGATTTTAACAATCATTCAGTCAGGAAACATTTTTTGCTTGGCTATCCAACCCAAGGCATTCTTCTTCTTCTTTTTTTTTTTT